TCGCTAACGGAAATGATTTCCGGCAGATCTTCTAGCTAAGAGAATTGAGACTGGCTACCAGGTCTGACTAAAAACATCCCCATAAATTTTCAGCTTTCTAGCTTTCCAGTTTTCTGAGTTAGCCAATTACTTGCAAAAAATTTTCTCGGGTCCTTACACAGAACTACGCATACCGGGGCTGGATATGAACTCATTAGGACCAACATGGACGGGGAACATCCCCTTAAAATTACAGCCTTCTAGCTTTCTAGGTTCCCGCAAAAAAAATTTCAGGTGGGGACCACGCACACCGGGGGTTTGGGTTTGATCTTATTAAAACCTACATGAATGGGGATAGCCGTTTTTGCATTGCATAGACGCAAAAAATGCATAATAAAAATGGACTGTTTGCGAATACGAACAAACATCCTACTGTCTTCGACCGCCAACAGTATTTGCCTCTGAGAAAGAAACCTCGCTTCACAAAATTAAGCACATTAACTGCAAATATGCCCAAGCATACCGTCTTCAAGCAGTGCAACAGGACGACCCAATGTTGCATTACCCTCCTGTTCGCCACAGAATTTCATTATGAGCTCCTCCTTGGATCGCACCGATTCACGAAATGCTTCGATTTCGATATTCATTTCCTCAATTTTCTCTTCGTATTGTCTGAAAAAGAATATGATTATTGTTGAAATGTGAAAATATAATAACTAAAGCCTACAGCCTACAGCAGGTGTTTGGCCTCCTTATCCGTCCTACTGTGCTACCCGCTTTAACATGATTAATCTAAATTTAACCTCTGTACCTATGGGTGCTCCTTGAACCCTTAACCCGAGGCGCTCACGCAATGTGGGCGAAACTAACTCCCTCTCCAAAAATCCTCCCCAACAGGCCCAGGGCCTTAATGAGGGTGGAGAGGTTAATGAAGTCCCCCTCAGTGGCGTGATTAACCAGAAAATATACTGATTATGCCAGAGCTTTCTCCCTATCCATTACGAGTGGGTAAGGAAGTGAGGGAATTTGAATTTTTGCTGCGGGCAAAAATTTTTGATTTTTTTCAAATTTTTTTAACCTTCATTTTTAAAGTATAAATTCCAGTCGTCGTAGTACAATGCTTGCTTAGACTGGTATAATTTACTCTCACTGATAATTGAAAAATTATAAATAGCCTGCTGCAAAAATAAGCCATAAAAGTGATGCTTACTGTGGCAAATTTTGCAATCAGAACTCATTTTTCCGCGTACTCATTGCCTCTCTTTGAACTGCATTGTAATGCTGTGTTCGTACGCTACAAAAGAAAACTTTAATTACTTGTTCTGTTCCATCAGAAATTGAATTTCACGACTGTACGATGCCGCATTTAGCTGGCAAGCTGTCAATTCACTTTCTTTTTCCAAAATTAAACTGATTCTTTCCTGCGGGTTTTTCAGCTCTTCCATCCTCGTCCTGCAATTACTACTGGTAAGCGCAAAAATCCATCGAAAAGTTAAACTCGGCAGAAGATATGCAAAAAAAAAATTCTACGCTTTCCTCACTCCCTTTCTGTAGCGTATCCTAGGAAAACACCACAAACAACTCGAACGCCACCCATACTCTGGAGTTGCTATTCTAAGTTGTACGTCTTCAGAATACATTTACTTACCGTTTCTACCAGGCTCAGAAGCAGAATTTCAGATTTCATCTCAGCGATTTTTACCAAAAATAAAACTTTGTGTTGGATTTAACTGAACTTATGAAAAGCAACGCAATCGTGCTCAAATCCCATTTCTCAGTTCTTTGGTTCCCGAACAAAGGGGAGAAAATTAACCGCATTAGAAACATGGCGTTTTGGCTAGGAACAATTTTTTGCTTACAGCAGTTCAACTTGGCGATTCGATTTCAGCAAATTCTGGCGTAGCATTGCCACTAAATCCTGATTAGCTCCAACTTCATCAGTAAGCTCATAACAGCGATCTTTGAGTGTATTCACAACACCAAGGAGCTGCAAGATTACCAAAGATTCTTTCGTTTCATTGCCTAACATGTGATATTTAC